TTAAGAACTTGATGGAATGGGTTTTGGGTTAGCTTTAAAAAAAAAGAAACAGATACCCCATTGACTAATGTCTGTGCAGTACTTTTTACCATAATGTATCTCACTGCTTTTATTTCAGGCCAAAGACAGAAGCAGAGTATTATAAATGGTGCATATGTGAACTCCACTGAAGAGGCTTTGAGGGTCCAACCTCCACTTACCATGATTACCCCAAAATGTCCTTCATTTCATTTTGATAGGGAAGACCAAAGTTGATTTCAATAACAATCTTTTCATATTTGTAGCTTTTTATGAGTTGCGCCAGTTTTCCCTCTTAGATGATAAATGGTGGAGCAGGGGTTAGTTCCATCAAGTTTAGGGCAAGAACCCAATTCATTATTCACTGGGATTTAAATTTTCAATTAATCACTTTAGGAGAAAAACAGGCATCGCATATCTATCGGTTTGACTGAAAGTGTCAGAAACCTATCAGTCTATCTTAGCAAACAGAGACTTACTGACTTAACAGAAGCTAATAAAGGCTTGGACCACCAAACTGTGGGCAGTATTGCATTTGGCCTAAACGTAGCCAGAACTCTCCATCTTTCATCTCAGCTTCTATCTGTATGTTTGCTTCATTCCTTCACATGGCAGACCATTTTTCCACATGGTTGGAAACATGGCCACCAACAGTTTGTCTTATAGCTTCTGTCCCTGAAAAGTTCTCTTGATGTCAGATTTAAAAAGAAAATTATAGGCAAGGAACTCCTCAGATCAATATGGAACGTGTGTTAATCCCTGGGTCACTCAGTAGGGCTCAGGGAGGTGGCATCATTTAGAAACATGGCAACACGTGTGTTTAGCCATACGAATGGAAATGAGCGGCCCTTCCCAGGATAAGAGATGGTTGTTGGGAAGAAAATCCCCCAGCATGTATGCTTACTACATGTCAGATGAGTGCCTTTTAAATATTTTGATGGAAACTTATAATGAAAAATACATTTTACATTGAGGCACACATATACACACGTGGTTAATTGAAAAAAAGTTTTCATGAAACAATACTCACCTTCACTATGTGGAGGCATTCTGATATTTTTTATTATATCCTATTGCAGTTCATTAAAAAAATACTGATTATAATCCACCTAATTGTATAACTCAATGGATAATGGTCTATAGTTTGAAAAATAATAAGCTAGACATTAAAAGTAGCAGGTAGGTAACTTCATGTATAAATAGACATTTGGGCATGGATATGTATTCAGTTTTGTTGAAGAAATAACTTACATTCTAGAAAGATGCTAGGGTCTCAATGGGGGACAGATATGTGACAGAAATGCCCTTTTCAGTTCTCCCGGTAGACATGACTGTGCATTTTCTACTGAGGAATATTCTGGAGCTACTTCCCAGCCTTTTGTAAAGTTAGTAAAACAAATGCAATCAGCGCACTCTACTCTGTTTTGGACTCACTTTTTGCTGAGAAATACTGAAATCCTGTGGACCTAGAAAATTCCCCAAAGTGCTTTCGGTTCTGTCTTAAAACAAAACATTGGCACTACTTTCTTGAAAACTTTATTGTGGCAGCTTGAAGGGTGGCTTTTCTGATCATCGTAATACTATGAAGGATTGGATAATAGCTTTACTTATCTAAGAGTCAACTGAAAACCTAAGGTCTCTTGTTTTTGATCTTCTATTGAAACATTTGAATCCTCAGGCTTCTATCTCTTAAGTTGAACTGAGAAATTCAGATGAAACTTGACAGCAGTAGTGTAGGATGACTCTTGAATGAGACATAAGAAGATGCAGAAAAGAGTGGTTGAGTTCCTTTCTGCAAACGGTCAATCTGACTACTCTTGATGAACTTTTGTTCAATAAGATTGGAAACAGTAGATTGGGAAAGATATTTAGAACACATTTAGTAGACAAAGGACTTCAGAATATATAAAGAACCATTGGTGGAGTGTAAATTGGTACAACCATGTTAGGAAAAAGTTTGGCAGTATCTAGTGATGCTGAGGATAAGATAACCTGCGATCCAGGATGTTCACTCCTAGATTTATACTTTAGAGTAGCAGTTCCTCAAACCTTTCAGTCCCACTGTACACTTTTAAAAATTGTTGAAGACCTCAAAGAGTTTTTGTTTATGTGGATCATATTTATTGATATCTACCATATTAAAAATAGAGAAGTTTTGAAATATTCATTAAAAACCTCATTACGTGTTAAAATAACTTACTTTTATGAACAATAAATTTTATCAAAACAAAAAATTAGAGGGAAGAGTGGCATTGTTTTACAGTTTTGCAAATCTATTTGATGTCTACCTTAATGGAAAACAGGTGGATTCTCATATCTGCTTTTGTTGCGGTATGTTGTTTTGGTTGAAGTATACAAAGAAAATGTGGCCTCACACAGATTTATTGTTGGAAAAAGGAGGATTATTTTAAAAACCTTTTCAAACAATAGTAGATTTTCTTCCTTGCTACTCAACTAAAACTGCAGATGGTAGTTTCTTTGGTAGGTTGGTAGCAATGTAAAATTATGATCTGAAACCATAGCAATAAACTTTTAATTATTTTGTTACATTAAAATCTTTTAGTTTACTGTGCATGTTGAATAGATTTTTACTCATGCATGACTTTGTAACATCATACATTGATAATTTGGAAATATTGGTTTACTCAGTTATGCGAATCTTTTCATTGTTGACACATTTCATTATACAATATTAAAATGTCACATTCTTTAACTTTACTACTGATCTCATCAGAAAAGTGTTTAAGTATTGGGAAGCTGTCAAGCACTTAGTGGCAGATACAAGTTTTCTAAAATTCTAATTTTCACTTGAAAGCTCAAATTTTATCACTGGCACCCAAACTGTCAGTTGTTTTTCTTGAAGTGATAGGCTGACTTGTCTGCCAGATACTCAAGTCTGAATAACCATAGTTTGTCTGACTGTCACTCTTTCAGTAAAAATGGTGTCCCATTAAAAAAGGCAGCTACAGTCACCCAGCTCAAAGGCAAACAATTGCTCAAGTGCCTTTCTCTAGGCAACCTTTGTACCTTGGTATGTAGCAGAAGTGCTTTATGTGTACTCTCTCATTTCGTCACACAGAATATTAAAAAGACATGTACTGAAGGGTAGAGATTTTTTTAAACTTTTTTACTTTTCAAATTACCATTGGCATGTAATATTAATTTCAGGTGTACCATATAGCGATTAGACATTTCTGTAACTTCCAAAATGATCACCCTGATAAGTCTAGTACCCATCTGACACTGCACATAGTTATTACAATATTGATGGCTATATTCCCGTGCTGTACTTTATATTTTCATGACTGTATTTATATCTGGTAATTTGTACATTTTAAAGGGGCAGAGATTTAACAAAATTAATACTTTTACTGCTTCACTAAGGACATTTTATCATGAACCTAGCATATTTTGTTCAGAATGTAGAGGTGAGGAATACAAGGACTGCTGGTGCAGTTTGGTTCTACAGCCTTTGTTCATGTCGTTCTGAACTCATCCAACAGTGAAAAAGGCAAATAATATCTTAGAACTATTATAAGAATAGTTTTGACTTTGTGGGCCCTCTGAAGAGGTCTCGAGTTCCCCAGGGGTCATAGGACCCCTCCCCACTCCAGGAGTTGGACCATGCTTGAGAACTACTGCCCTAGAGAATGCACAGCTCTGTGCTCCAAGGTACACCAGGATGCATCAGGATAAATGCATGTGAGCAGGGGTGGGGGAAGGGCATATGATCAAGGAAGGGCACATGGTAGGGAGAGTGCATTTGGGACGCTAACAGCGTTCTGTTTCTTGGCCTGGGTAGAACGTTTGTTCTATAATTATGAGAATTTGTTCTTTTATATTTATGCACTTTTCTATATCTCTGTTATTTAAAAGTTCAATTCTCTTAATTTTATTAGCATTGTTTTTGGGTTAGAGAGATAAAGAGTGTTGAGAAGGCAGGAACCCTTCTTTGTGCTTGCCTTTTTGTATTGTGTGCGGGATGTATCTCCAACCTTTTCTGCTTTTTGGGTTGTGGTTGCTTTGGTTAAGGTAGAAATTCAGTTACTTCCAGTGCATTTCCCCGCTCACAGTTACTAACATGGGAAGCAGTGAAAATTAGTGGGAAACTTTTTTTTTTTTTAATTCAATACTTTACATAGTTCTTAGTTATTTGAGACTTAGGAAACTTACCATCGAAGCTGTTCCCATATCCTTATGTTCTGGAAGGGGGAAACAAAATGAAAAGTGACTTGAATAAGGACACAAATGGAGAATAAACCATTTCTAACTTTTGCCACTATTAAATTTTAAGACTACGGTCACTGTAAATGAAATAAAAAATAGTAATAAGATTTTGGCATTACTGAATTATCTTATGGTCATGCTTTTAGAACATTTATCACTTTAGTTGTCTAATTTTATCTCTATAACACTGAATTAAGCACAACATGTACTCATAATTCTATTTCATAGATAAGAAAACCTAGGCACAGAAAAGATCAGGAATTCAGTAGCAAAGCCAGGAGTAGTCTTGATTTCATGATTCCTAGAATTTGCTTTTCCAATGAAGCTAAGTTTAATTGTAAGAGATTCAAGATAGTCATCAAAATCCGGACATCTTTTCTTTGCCTCATTGATCCTCCTGCCATAAGCCGAGCTCTCGCACTTTGGATGAGGAACGTCAGTGTTCTGAATAGACTTGAGCACCATCTACTGTGCTTCCTGATGTTCTGAGATGGAATGAGAACCTTTAGAAAACCACAAAGACTCAATTTCAATTTTGTCTGTTAGAAACTGAGTCCACTGAGATGTGCATTCGATGCTACTAATCAAAGCCTTCCACATGAACCCACGTGCCATATAAGCAAGAGGAGTATTTATTCTCCACGTATTAGCTGTCAGGACGACCAGAAAGTGGTGGAGCTGGACTGCAGATAAAACCGATTCACTTTCAGATGTACCTGATCTCCCAACAGGGCTGTCCTTTTGTTCCTTGGCAGAGGTTCACACACTCAGGATTTGTGTGTGGAAGAGTGTGCGCACTAAGAGAAAAGAATTATCCAGCTTGATTGCAACAGATCAGGCAAAGATTGCCTGGACTCTGCAGGATGTGTGAAGTGACTTGCTCATAGAACCAGCTCTGATTTAAATGGATGTGCGAAATCTTCATGAAAGCGACTAAGAATCTCTGGCAGCAGAGTGAGGTAATTAGAAATAAATTAGGGCTCTTTTTATAGTTTGTCCGGGCTAATCTTTTTCTTTTCTTTTTCTTTTTCTTTTAAGTAATACTTATCTTCATTGGATGTTAGTGTCCCTGAGTAAATAAAAACATTTTTTGATATTATAAATCCTATATTTCACAACCAGGATCCACTTTGGTCAATATTTTTCTCATTAGCTCCTACGAGTATCTTATTTATAAGATTTGGGTCTTAATCAAAGTATTTTCACAAGTGAAATATAACAGAAATCTAAGAAATGAGTCTACTAATTGCATTTTTCCTGATACATTTCAAATAGGGCAGTCTAATTATAAGCAACCCCTACACACAAATGGCTTCTGCTCTTGCCCAATTTCCCCCTTCTAACCAGGCCCAGATGTTGCTGCCATGGAAAGTGTTGTCAGTGCTCATAGAGAATCTGAGGGTCAGAGTGGAGGAAGGAGGAAAAGTTTATGAAAACAGTGACCAGGGATGTGGACCCCAGAAACAGAGCCCATCTGGCCATACTGTAGTGGTTTCCTGTCCTCTCGCCCACCACCAAAGTGCCTTTTCTTTTTCATCCTTGTCAAGTGCCATTGAACAGAGTAACAAGTGCAGGGCAGCAAGAGTCTTTAACATATTGCAAGGAGGATAAGAGCATGAGTTTGGAGTTGGACACTTCAGACTTGAAACTGGGCATTACTACCTCCCAGCTCTGTGTCCTTTGAGCAGGTTGCTTTACCCCGCCTGGCAAGTCTGTTTTGTCTTCCGTGAATGGAAATAATTGTACCTGCCTCCCAGGGTTACTCTAGCATTAAATTAATACCCATATACAGTGTACATGGCTGCTCCACACCTGGGATATAGTAAGCTCTCAGTAGACGGTAGCTCTTTATCACACATGCAGACAACTAAAAGATTCATTAATGATCCCTACAGTGTAAATTATTTTTATGACAGTGCTTTATTCCAGATATCTAATTGAACTCTACTCCCTGGAGGAGCTGATATTTTGACAGGGTAGGACAGTAGGGAACTCTTAGCAGGGAGGTGCTAGGGAAAAGGGCAGGTCAAGGTGATTTAGAGCATCATAAGGTCCTGGGAAATGGGGAGAAGAAGACTAAAAAGTGGGACTGGTGCATTCTTCCTCCAGAAAAGAGGGAGGATTATTATTCTTCCTCCTCCCTATTGAACCACATACACATTGCTGCTAGGACCTCAAACTCAGGCAGGCACTGTTAATAATGTACCTGCCCTCTGGCTGCACATTGAACCACCTGCAGAGCTTAAAAATGTACCCATGCTTGGGCTCTGCCCCAGTCCCTTAAATCTGGATCTCTTAGGGGGTAAGACCCAGCAGCACCTCATGTGGGTTAAGTACACTTGTGAAGGTTAGCCTGGAAACCTGCCCATTCCAAGTTCTAAACAAGTGGGAACTTTTTATACACACATACACACACATATGTGCGTACACAGTCTTAACTTCATCAAAACTTGGCCCTTCATTGATTCAACAGTCATGAGGGGTGTAGAAGAGATGCTATTGTCAATGCTGTTAAGGTGGAGAAATAAGTTTTATTCATAAATAATTAAAAAATTTCCAAGATCTCATGAATGCCATCATGGAGGCATAAATTGGGATGACAGTTCAGAGGAAGGACAAAGCATCTCATGAGTGCCAGCAGGAAAGGCTTTTTGAAAGAAGTGCAATCTGAACTGAATCGTAAAGGATGGGTAGGACTTTGGACAATGAGGGTGAAGAGAGGAAAGGCATTTCGGAGAGAGGGAATGTTAGGAGCAAAACTCGGAGATGGAAAGCTCAAGACACATAGGAACAATAGATAGACCAGCTGAGGAGAGAGCTGAAGTTCATGCAATTGAATGTGGCAAGTTAGTGCAGGTTTCGAAGAGAAGGGTGATGTGGATAGAGCTGATATTAGGAAGCTGAATCTGATGGTACACTGATGGGAGAGGACTGGAAGCAGATGTGTTTTCGTAGACATATGTCTTTTCTGAAGAAAAGAGGCTATGTGAAGGAGTGAGGGACTAGCATGTGCTGAACAACAAACAATGGTGGTGGGGTGACCTGGAGAGAATGAGAAATGGGAGGGAAGGTGGCCAGATCAGGGGAGAAGAAACTCCTTCTTTTACTTGACCCACTGTTGCCAAATGTCTGCATATTATTCTGCAAAATCTATGTCGGCCCATTTCAAACCACCGTTTGGATTATCCCTAGAGATGCAAAGGTACAGACAAAAGGTGGAAATTTTTTTTAAAAAACTAAACTACCTTTTTTTTCTCTGAGTTTTTTTTTTCCTCCCTGAAATTGAATGTAGAAGACTGGAAAAATTAAGATAAAATGTTTCTGTTGCAACCCGCTCATAACTGTTGATTCTTCCCAAATTATTTCTAAAACCTGGCAGTAGAAAGACTTCTCTGGAAAACCATCTGCAACTCTCAATTCCCTGAATCTCATTCTTCCTTCGTCAGGCATTATTTACCTAATGTCCCAGATAAAATGAACTCTTTGGGAGAATCTGCGTGCATTTTCACTTATGAGCACAGAGAAATTTTTTATTTAGAAGTAGGAAGGGTTTTGTTGTAAGTCAACCCATGTGGCTGCAGAACTTCTATCTAAAAATTAAGGAAGGCACATGGGTGAGGCAGCACCTCTCTTTGATTTGCCTGGAGGGCTCTGCACTCAGACTCTTGAGAAAGGATAGTGATTGATGTTATTTTTAACTAATGCAAATATTAAGAATGAGACGAAAGGCTATTGTTAGTGTTGCCTTAGAAATAAAACTAATTAGGCAAAATCATACATGGGAGAAGTTATAGTGAGATTAGGGATGGGAGGTGGCTCTCCTTTGGGAAGTTTTCTCCACTGAAAAGAAATTGAAAAATTGATATGGATAGGAAGGCAATAAAAAGACAATAGAACAATATTAAAAGTTTTTATTTTAAGAAAGACACAATCACAACCCTCAAACTACTGTTTTTACTTTTGACATTTGCCTTATTCCATGTATGTATGTTTTTATATAGGTTTAAATAATATCTATAAAATGATATGTTCTGGAATATGCAGTTAAACTATAACAATCATTTTCTTGCATTTCTATATTGTGTTTAATATTATAAATATTCTGTTTATAAATCATTTATCAAGCAGTTCTTTAATGCTACATTATTAGATTGTTTCTTATTTTTAGGTATTAGAGAAACACTGCATTGTGTATCTTCTATAGATGCCTTTTTGCTTTTATTCAGTTACTTCCCTACAATAGATTCCTAGGAGTAGATTTATTTAGTCAAGGGTATGATAGCCGAATGGTGCTTGTTTCAGTTCCTTTCTGAAAATGAATACTTTCTGTATCTGCTCAACACGCATAATAAACCTAGAAACTGTAAAACTTTCCTATTTTACCACACTTTTAGTTTTTAATCTCAAATTGACAAAAACTATTATTCCCTTATATTTAGCATCTCATAAATATGTTTACATTTGTAATCTAAATTAAAAATAAGTCCAGTTCCTGAATTTATAATTATCCAAATAAGCTATATTCTTTATTGTATAAAATAAATCCCATACATTATTTTCTCTTTTCTTCAATATTTCCAGAAAGTTTGTCACTGTTTTTAAAAAAAACTATAAATCCCTAAAAAAATCCTAATTTTTCTTTTTTCCATAATATGCTAGATCAATTCAATCATATTTACATACCTAGTATGTCTTAGAGTTTATTTTTTAAAAATTGATACTTGTGCATAAACATGTGTATGTTTCTTTTGTTTATTTTAAAAAAAGAAAAACCCAACTTTTATTAGAGTTATTACATATAGATCTGGAATATTAAAATGCTATTTTTTGCAAGCTGCAAGTCATTTTGTGTTCAGGTGAGTCTTTTTCCAAGGACTTATTTTCTGCGTCTGATATATAGCTGTGTTAAGACTAAAATAAGCTTTGTGGCTTAGAATAGTCTCCTTGCCAGTCGGTCCTTGCCACACTTTTCTTTCCCCTCCAGCCCATCCTATTCATTACTCCCATATTAATTTTCCTAAAACACTGCTTACTGAAAAACCTCACTGAAAAACCTTAACTGACTCCTCATTTCTAGATGAATTGAGTATAAACTTTTTACCTCAGCATTAAAGACCTACGACAAAACATGCCTTTGCAGGCTTATTTATGAGAACCATTGGTAAGGAGGTTAGAGTGCTGCCTGGGCTCCCCCCACCCCAGATTGAGTCAGAAACCTCTAGGGGAAGGACCCTCTAAAATCTCTCTCTTTTTCAAGCTCCTGAGTCGAAGCACCACTAAGCAGGGGTGATGAGCTCTGGCACTGGAAAAGGGCAGAGACACAGGTTGTTGGCACTTACCAGCTCAGTGATTTCCAGCATGGGTGCTGGCCTCTCTACACTCAGGCTTTCTTCTTCTTTCTGTAAAACGGGTCAAATGGTATCTTAATGAGATCAATTGCAATTATGCATAAACTAATTAGTATAGGGTAAATACTAAACACATATTGGCTGCTGCTATTGTATAGTAATAATAGTAGTAATAAAAGTCATAAGCTTTGCATTCAGGCAGATGTGGGCTCCAATTACAACTCTATTCTTCCTCTCTCTAGATCTTATCTAGGTTACCTAATTCTCTGACCCTCAGTTTCCTCATCTACAAACAGGGCTAATAATGCCTCTCTTATTTAGTATAAAATATAAGATATTAGCACATCGTTACATAGTTGGCACAACATTATAGCATACATTTTATTATGTGCCAGGTACTGCTCTACACTCCTTATGCTTTAACTACTCTTCCCATGAACCCTATGAGGTGATAACACTATTATCATTATTTTACAGGTGAAGAAACTTAAGACACAGAGAAGTTAAGTAACTTGCTTAAGGTCACACAGCTAGGAAGCCAGGGATTTGGACTCAGTCCTCTGACCCCAAGAGCCGACTGTCACCCACCATGCAGTGTTCCTTCTCATTAT